GGGGGGGGGGGGGGGGGGGGATTCTTCAGGTCATGTGTGCGCAGAGTCATGAAGCTTCGCACCGAACAAAAACATTCAATAAACGTGAACAATTTAGATGCTATCTGTGCTTAAGCAAACGACTGGACAATCTCATCTCGCCTAGAAAACACCGAGAAACAACTGTCGTGTCCCGTCCTACAGTTTCTCGAGCGCTTCGGCCTCGGTAGGACACAAAAACAGGCCCTTGACGGAGGTGCACTCATCCTCGCTGCTGACTTTCGTCGGGTGTGGAGTGCAACCCACACAACACTGAACGCATCCCTACATATCGACGCTTCATTGATGTCGGGTAATTTCCCAAGGCCAGCATGCAAAAAGGGAGCAACACTAGGAAGCGAAGCACCTATATCAACACCAAGTACCTCATGGCGTGGGGTCAGAGGAAGGTATTTTCATTCAGTCCGCGGAACACACAAAGCAACCAGGGCCAGCGGGAAAACTATTGGAACGGGCAAAAGTTTCTGAACAGTATGTAGCCTAGCCCACCGATGAACACAAGCGAAGGAAACGAAGGCATTTTTGTTACTATTCGAGCTGGGGCGATTGATGTGGTTGGGTTCAGAAAGCTACTCGCCTGAATGAACAGCATGCGCGGGATCCGACCGTTCACTGTGCCACGAATGGAGTACTTTGTCTCCTCTTCCAGCTCGCGGCTCACGACTGACATGTCCATTGCTGCCACCGCCTCCTCCCTATAGCGTTCGCGCCAACAGCCGGGATCGGTGGGGCCAAAAAGCACAAGACACCGCACACACCCCGCGAAAGGGACAATGGGGCTTAGAACCTTGGCCTGCCTATGTGACCCTGGCCGGTGCGTCGAACATATACCGAAAGACGAACACTGAAGCCCAGCATACATGGGACGAAGGCACACACACGGCCTATGTTAGTCAGCTAGTTGGCGCGGCCGATGCTAAATAAAGAAAGACACACACACAAGCATTTTCAACTGCGGTGAGAATGGTGTCCGTTCTTGGTCAGTCGGTTAGCGCGCGCTGTCGATGCTAGTACTACTAAAAACCACACGCGCCCTCCCGCCCGTTTCCACTCTCCGTCGCACCTGAGGTCCTCCGGGACGTTGTTCTTGTCGTCGTAAACGAAGTCGTGGAGCATGTTTTGGAGGCTCGTCTCCGCGTCCTCGAGGGAGTCCTTGTCCATCAGCTCCGATCGCTCGCGGAAGAAGACTTGCTTTCGGATCGCCTGCGTGCGCATCGATTTTTTTGTTTCCCGTGATGGCATGAGTCCCAAAACCGAAAAATCAACAAGAAAAGTTACCGGGTCGAAGATTGATATAGGACCCGAATGGTCGTGTTCAACTGAAGTGTGAGGAGGGGAGGCGGATCAAGTGAAACAAAAATGGAACACGATCTGGTGTTGTTTAACTTTCAAGAAGGCTGACACCCACTTGCAGAACACGCCAACCGCACTGCACGGCAACCCACGAGTCCTAACTTTTCTAACGTTTGCCGCCCCCCGCGTCAGTAGTTGTCAACAACAGTTTTGCCAGAGGGAGGAACGCCTTGTACTCCTGTTCAACGTTCGGCGTCAACGCGAAATACACAGAACACGCCTCTTTCGCGCGTCGTGTACTTTGAAATCGCCACGCACGGCCGCCCGCCCAACGGGAGCCATTCATCGTGAGAGAACTGAGAGCAATTCGCCCGACCTGGCCCTTCTGCCGAAAGGTGCACGCTACGCACCTCGCACGGTTGCCACAGCTGGTCCGAAAAGAAGCTGGAAACCCCCGTCGCCGCCTCGGTGGTGATTCGTCCCAGCTCCTCCCTATTGCTGCGCGCATACCTGCAATTTCCACGCACCGGTTAGTTGGCCAGGGGATGGGATGCCCACAATAAAAGCGCGTGTGGGCTGAGTGTCCGTAGATGTAGCGACCAACAGGGAGGCAGACGTGCAAGCAACAAAATGACACCCCGTCCGCCACCAACAGCATTGTTCCTGGACGACTACAATTCATGAGCAATTCTGCTGACGCACAATCGTGCCCCCCTCACCCCCACCCCAGTGATACCCTGCTTGCGCCATGAAAGGGTGTTTCGCAGTGTGCAACCTCACCTTGCCGACCGCACCGCCACCGGTACCACGACCGCCAAGCGCGCGGCCCTGCGCAGCCTCCTCCAGTGAGCAGGGCGCGCGGCGCCCGCTTCCGCTGCCTCCTTCGCCGCGAGCGAACGCAAGGCCCGAGTGATGCAAGGTGCTCTCGCAACACCGCCGACGGCAACGGGGCCGGCGATCGCGCTCCTACTCCGCTTTCCGCTGCTGGTGCTTCTGCTGGGTAGCGCCACCTTCCGTGCTCTCGAGGCGCCATCCACAAGCGAGCGACTCCGGCGTCCGCTGTCCTGTGGAACGTCGGTCGAGGGTGCCGAGCACACCCATTGCGCTAGCGCCGCTTCCGCCTTCTGCGCCTTGGACGGCGACGGCAACGAGAGGTCGGCACCTACACCGCTGTCGTAACCGCTGGAAGACGAAGGGTCCGGCAGGGAGATGGGGTCTATCAGGCTGGACGGCGAGGAGCGTCTTCCCAGCAGGGAGACGGGGAACGCCCACGCCCTAGCAGCCCAGCTACCGACCGACGGTGCCGAACCCATCGCTCCAGAGGATGCCGGCTTCGTTGTCGTTTGACTCACTGGTGCCGTTGACTGTATCGCTGGTGACGTTGACTTTATCACTGGTGCCTTTGACTTTGTCGCTGGTGCCGTTGGCCTTGTCACCCCGCCATCTCCCGCCTGGGTGGATTTCTTTTTGCCTTCTCTACCACGGCCACCTCCAGAGAACGGGCGAAGTGCGACGTCGACGACACGCACCGCAGTCTTCGCGGGCAGGACGAAGAGCACACGGCCAGCGAGCTCGACGCAGCCAAGGCAGGTTTTGGTCGACACGACGGCGCCCTGCGCCGCTGCATCACCCAGCATGCACACCGTCGCTGCCGTGCACAGCCAGCTCGCGGTGAGCACCGCGGCCGTCGATCGCCCAGCCCTGCCGCTCCCGGTCACGACCGCCCGCGAGACACTTCCCCCGGCACGTCCTGCCGACCGACCCGCTCTTCCGCCGCCGGTCGCGAACGCCCGCGAAAGCTTGCCCGGTGCGGACAGCGCCACGCCGGCCGTTCGTCCGGCGACGCTTGCGGACTTCTCGAGGCCTTTCACGACGGCGCCTCCCGCGAGACACACCGACGCCGTCGTCGCCACGAAGCCCGAGGACACTCCCTTCCCGACCAGGACGCAGAGATGTCCTCCCCGGCGCTTGAGCTTGGCGGCAACCTCGGCAACCGCCCTGCCACCGGGCGGCCCGGCACCTGCCGACAGGCCACTGCCAGCCGCACGTGCGAGTTTTACGGGCGAAGAGAGCACGACTCCCGCTCCCCCGATGCAGACCCGTGTTGTGTTCCGCACGACCCGAAGCGCCCCGTTCCCCACGTGCAGGGTTGCGTTTCCCAAGCTACGTATCGCCCCGGCAGCTGCCTCGCAGCAGACTGACGCACCTCCGTAGCAGGCCGAGACGCCTCCGGCAACCAGCTCGCACAGGACAGAGCAGGGACGCACCACTACCACCTCGAAAGGACGCGTCACCATGCTGCTGATGTTGAAGCTTCTGACCACCTCTTTCGCCTCGGATACTTCCTCATCTGCTGCCGGCTTGTGGTCGTCATCGAGGTCGATCGTGGCAAACGTCGCGTTTGACACGGTGTGCACTGTCGCGGCCAATTTCTCGTAGCCGGACGAGACGCTGCCGGCCACCGACCGGTAGAGGTAGTCCAGGGAGTAGCCCGTCGGCTGCGCGCCGTCGTGGTGGCCGTCCTCGCCCTTGCTTGCGCTGGCCGTATCGTGGCCGTCTCCCGCTGTCCCCGGGGCTCTAGCAGTGGGTGTGGCCTTGGCTGCGGCGCCAGCCGCTGGAGATACCTCTTCATCTCCGTCGTCGAGGTCAATCTTGGATAGAGAGACGCTGCCGGCTACGGCCCTCACCAGCCTCGCCGGCGACTTGACCACCGCCACCGTCCCGCGCGAGATGTCTCCCGCGACTGACCCGCACACGGCTACGCAACGGCCAACGCAAGCCGCAAGCATCCCGCCAGTGACTGTTCCGGCAGCGGGACCGAGGCCGTCGCGCGACGGAGAACTTCCGCCGCTGCTGACAGAAATGCCGTTGCGGCCACCTCCCACTGCCGCCTTTTCGCCAACCCTCGGTGTAGTCATGGCCGTCACACCGGCCCCGACGGCATCTTCTTCGCCACCGGTGCCAAGGTCATCATTCGAACGGGTGACGCTTGCGGCTACGGCTCGCACCAGCGTCGCCGGGGAGGTCACTAAGGCCATCGTCCCGTGGGAGACTCCTCCGGCGACCGAAACGCAGGCGGCCGCGCAACGACCAGTGCAAGCTGCAAGCAACCCTTTACCAGAAGAGGCCGTTGCGTTTCGAGCAGCGGAACCGACGTCGTCATCGGCCGAAGGCAAGTCGCTGCCGCCCCCTGCTGCCTCACTCTCCCCGCCGGAAACCACAACGCTGGCTACGGCTCGCACCAGATTCACCGGGGAGGTCGCTAAGGCCATCGTCCCGTGCGAAATTCCTCCGGCGACCGACATGCAGGCCGCCACGCAACGACCAGTGCAAGCTGCAAGCAACCCTTGACCAGAAGAGGCCGTTACGTTTCCAGCGGCGGAACCGACGTCGTCGTCGGACAAAGGCAAGTCGCTGCCGCCCCCTGCTGCCTCACTCTCCTCGCCGGAAACCACAACGCTGGCTACGGCTCGCACTAGCGTCGCCGGTGAGGTCACCAAGGCCATCGTCCAGTGGGAGATTCCCTCGGCGACCGTCATACAGGCGGCCGCGCAACGATTAGTGCAAGCTGAAAGCAACCCTACGCCAGAAGAGGCCGTCGTGTTTCCAGCGGCGGAACCGACGTCGTCGTCGGACAAAGGCGAGGCGGCGCTGCTGATGGTCAAGCCACTGCCGTCCACTGCTGTCACACTCTCCTCGCCGGAAACCAAAAGGCCACCGTGCTTCCGTCCGATCAACTGTTCTCTCCTAACCCTCGCGTATTCTTCGTCGCGCTGCAGGGCTCGGGCGTAGACATCAGGCGTCGACAACGAGCTGGTCGACCGCGAGACGAAAGGGCCAAAGAGAAAAAAGTCGTCGTCCTGATCTGCTGACAAACTCGGTTCGGAGGGAGTTGCACGTTTGGGTTTAGCTCCGATCTCAGGCCCCGGCCGCAGTGTCCTGTCCATCCCAGCGCGATCGGCCGGCGGCTCATGTAGCGCCGCCGCCATGGGAGGCAACGATGACGACACAGACCCTGCTCCTACTCCACCCTTCGAAGCGCTACCGCTGTCACTGTCGCGGCCGCCACCACGCTCTTTCTTGGTAGCCGTCGCCTTGAGAGCATCAGCACTTTCCCGAGCGGCTCCCTTTCTCCCCTTTATTTCAGCATCAGGAGCAGCCGACCGCTTCGCAGCGCTGCCGTTGTCGCGAGCGTTCTTTCCGGCAGTGGACTCTTCTCCTTGCCGGAGCCACTCCCATAGGCCACCCGAGACCTCGGGGCCTTTACCGCCCCGGCTCTCTTGCTTTTTGCCCGCTTGTGCTGCTGCTCCCTTCTCGCGACTGTTCGGCTGCCTCATTGTGGCACGTTTCCCCCATCTCGGCCCACCCCCCTCTTGTTTTCCTCCTGAGCCTGGCTTCGGACTGGAGGTAGGCTTGGTGGCAGTGTTCTTGCGTTCCACCTTTTCGAGGTCCCGCTTCTTTGCCGCACGGCGTGCACCCCATGATGGTGCTGTTGATGATGGTGACACATCTTTGTTCCCCGGCGACTTTGCAGCGCCCCATCCCCGTCCCCCCTCTTCCGCCACTGCTTTCGTCTTCTTGGGCTTTGAACGCAACAGGAGAATAGCGGGGAGAGAACGGTGACCGCTGCCGTAAGCAGCAGCAGGGACAGCACTGGTCACCACACCACGAGGGGCTGGACTCGTTGTAGCGCCCGAGGGCAACGGTGCACTTCCACTGTCATGGCCACCACCGCATTTTCCGCCTGCCCGAAGCTGCTGCATGGCGTTAAACACGTCATCGGGTTTGGAGGCAAAAGAAGTGCCGCTAACAGTGATCCTCTCGAAGGCGTCGTTGGCTGTCGGCATGCCCGACCCCTGCTTTACCGCCGTCTCTGATGTTGCTCCTGCTGGAGCAATGGCTCCAACCACATCCAGAGATGTTTCGCTTTTAATGGGGCTTGCACTGTGGCTAACGTGGCCAGCGGCGATACCGTTATTGGTGTCGCCGTCTTCGCCTGGTGCTGTTTTATTTTGCTTGAGAGCCGCCTCTACGTACTCCAGGGATCCGAGGAACAAATCCATGCCCTCTTGTACCCAGGCTTCGAGAGCTATGACGTCAACCTGGCCGCAAGAAAGTAGGTATCCACAGCATGAGCGCCAAGGGAAAACAAAAAAAAAGGTCGAGAAAGGAGCTCTTAACCGTTGTGTGTTGACCTCCTGTGCCTCTTCTCTGTGCCTGTCTGAGGGAACACTCGCCGGACCAATGCCAAATCAAGTACAAGTTAAGGAAAGTCGACAGCACGACGAAAACAAAGCGGAGGGGTCAACTATTTACCACCAAACAACAACACACCGGAGAAAACACGCTAGCCCCTTCCTCTGCCGCTGACGAGGAGGATCCCAGGCAAGGCTTCGGTCGCGCCTGTAGATGGGCCTGGACACCCCCCAGTCTCTTCAAGTAGCCCTCTAGCAGCAACTCCGCGGTGGAAACGTTCTCTTGGTCCTTCTCCACCGCAACGCGCTTGCCGGAAGCCTTGCGGGGACGGGGGGCGGGGGGTAGGGTGAGACGGGGCGCCGATATCACCAAGCTTAATCATTTTCATGCTTCCCTAGGCCCCTCAATGACAAATACAAAATTAGCGACACACAAGTGCTCAGCAGCCAGCCCGAACCAAAACAACGACGATGAGAGCGGCAACAAACGATAACAACACCGCCACCGCCGTCCCGTACCACCCCGCGCATGCTACAGCACAATATTAAGACCGGGCTAGAATTGGTACCTTCCCGTGGACAACCCTTCCAAGCACGACCGACTTGACGACCCCCATGCGTCTGTGGGCCGACCTCTGATCCTTCCAATAAGACGATAAGTCCGACAGGTCCGACGAAGCACGCACCAGCCCGTCCCGGAGCGATCGCAAGGACACGTCACAGAGCCGCGCCTGTTACATCGCGAGCAGGGCAGGGCAGCAGCACAGCTGTTAGACGGATAAGGGATTGGTAGGGTCGACAGGAGCCTGGCTTTTGTGCTTCGATGCTAAGCCTAACATAGAATGGGCTTGAATGACTGCCACAAAAGCCGAGCTGTTCTTGCTCTACGTACGTCGCACGAACAAATGACGCTCGAACGTCCTATACCCGGCAACGAGCCAGGAGTACTGTTACACACCTGCACGAGCAAGACCGCTTGCTCTGCGAGGGAGGCATGCTGAGGCCCAACAGTTTCCAAGTCTGCCTCGTCCCTGCCAAAGTAGAATTGGAAGCAAGAATTAGAACAGGGAGGGGAGAGTCTCTTGGCAGCTCAGTAGGAAAGTATTAGTGCTTGCACGAACGACAAGTAGACAAACAAGCAGATCGCGTACGCTTCTTGCTCGTTAATGTGCTGTGTTGTCCAATCGTCCGGGAAATCACCCGCGACGCGAAACGCGTCTTCGCCTGGGCATCGAATCAGACCGCCCCAACCGGACGACGATGCGTCCGATGCCCCCACTATCGTCAGTTTTTGGTGCCGTGCCGCGTACCACGCTGCTCCGTTCATCCTCTCTCGTACCTCCAACCATTTCTCCATCTCAAAGCGCAAACCGCCGTTCTTGGGAACGTCAATGTCCATGTTTCTCTTCCGGCCGCCGTTTCTCTGAAATATCCCGATATGCTTGTACATGTGGTGCGTATATAGAGCTGCCGCTGGACACGCGTACTTACACACACGCGGTAACGCTTGATATGTAGTGTTTCGTTCGGCATATGCAAGATAATAAAGACACCAACACCATCCGCTCATAGTAATAGTAGCATACCCACCTAGCCTCCTCGAGTGTTCGCAGGGCCTCCGCAAGCTCGTCCGCATATCGGGCCCTCCCCCCGGCTAACCCTCCGCCCCGACCGGCGCATCGCAAGCCGATCGCTTGTCGGATGCCGCTCTCCACGGCTCCCCACCCGCCGCCGACATCCCCCATTCCCCCGGCGGCAAGACTAACACCATCATCGCCATCTGTGCTATTGTACGTGCTCAGTTGCGTGGTTGCCCCCTTCGATTGTTTCCGTTGCGGGTCAGCAGCAGCGGGAGCGGTCGCGACATCGGTAGCGGCGGAGGTGGCGGCGGGTTGCCCGAGCTCGCGAAGCCTGAGGATGATAGCCTGGCCCTCCGTGTCGAGCACCGCGCCTCGGTTCAGCAGATTTTGGTCTTCGGCATCGAGGATAATGTCGCTGGTCGTGGAGTTTGATATTGGCGCGTGTAATCGTGTTCGTATCAATGGGCTTAATTTGGGTATTTTACGGTTCAACGTGACCGGAACGGTGTTTAATGTGAAGACAACAGCCACAACAACACCGTGCGCCCCGCGATCCATTGTCAGGCGCACGGAGAACACGGACCACAGACAGAAATAGGTACATTCCAAGCCACACTACGAATTACCACTCTCACCTCCATGACAGACAGCGTACAAAAGAATAAGCAAAACTCACCCGCCGCTCAGCGCGTTCGCCTTCACCCTCGCGACCACTCGTCCCGCCAACCGGAGCCCGTACACCCCGACCAGGAAGTAGACTGCCTTCTTGCGCCATCTGCCAGCAGCCGTGGAGAGAAACAAATATCCATGTCATCACAGTCGTGATTTTTCGCCAGGGCGGATGATATGTGGTTCTTGCAATGGAACAGCAGCAGCAGCAGTGTGCTGGGGGCTGGAAGCCGACCAGTCTATTGGCATCGAGTAGGGGGTTGTTCGATACGGGCAAGTCCGAAATGCCTGAAGTCCGCGCCATGCACGAGGACGTTGTGTCGGGTGAACAGAAAACGCGAGTATCGAACGCATTGACCCGTCCCGCCGCGTGCGTGTCAGAGTTTGTAGATCGCGTTTCTGCGACTTTATTTATCCTTGCACGGTGTACTCCCCCAGACCAGGCATCTACTCTGCCCTTCCTCCCATCTCCGTCCCCTTCCCCGGCCACGCCCTGCCACCCAAGACGTTGACCGTTGCGTTCGTTGGGTCTTACCGTCTCCTGAGCCACACACCCCCTTCTCTCCCCAGCACCACGGAGCGTCCCGCCAGCGTCTGAAGGGCCCTCCCCCCTTCATCTGAGGCGTTTCCAACCGCCCGAGAAACTCGCTCGACCAGAGCAGCCAAACAATCGCTGTTCCATCTCGGCACTCTGCGCCACCGCCCTTTCGGCCCTTCCTCTTCTGCTGCTGTCGTTGTCGGTGAAAGTTCGTTGTCTCCATCGGGAACGCTAGGCGCCGGCGGTGGTTTCTCGTCGGGTCCTGTCATTCATTTTTTTTTTTTTTCATTTCAAACAATCGCACGGTCGTTTTTTTTTCGACTGCTGTGCTATTTTCACACACGGAATTGCAGCGCGTGGGCAGGGTTCAAAGGAGTGTTCTGTTCCGGCAAACTCAGGCGGGACCTCTGAAAACAGGAAACGGTCGAACAAAAAAGCTTCCCTGAACATAAATGGACGTTTCGTTCGACGGTATCGTTGCTGGTACGCCCAACCACAGCAACCTAGTAAAACGCAGGACAGCTCGTACAGCCAGCTAGACAAAAACGCGCGCGCACCGAACATGCTCTCCTTCCACCATCTCAGCTCCTCTTCCGACAGCAGCTCGAACGGACCTATCCACGCCGGGTTCGCTCCCTGGAGGTGTATTCCCGACACCTTGTCAGGATGGAGCTGGTAGGCGCGAGTAAGAGTAGGGGTGTGGGGGGGGGGATTGAAAACCGATAATGCATGGATATACAAATGCTGCTGTATGCATAGCAGCATGTGATCACTTGCATCCGAAAGTACTGCTGCCGAGTCTTCACCGTCCGTGTATCCACTTCATCGGATCAACTCTTGGACAACCATAACACCAATCACTACGACACGATGTATAAGTAACGTACAGCGGAAAGTACTGCTACCGAGTCTTCACCGTCCGTGTATCCACTTCATCGGATCAACTCTTGGACGACCATAACACCAACTACTTCGACACGATGTATAAGTAAAGTACAGCGGGTCGGGGCTGTAGGTTTGAACGATTAAAATGGTTGTCACATGTCTCGAGCAACCGGTGAGCCCATACGCCCATACCATACGGCCAGGGCAACCCATGAAGAGGGTGTCGTGGCTAAGGAAGGCATGTACGGCGGTGCAGCCACCCGCCACACCCCCACCGAAAAACCGTGACATTCCTCTGTACGTTACGAAGCTTACAGCAGTAGTCTGCAGTCTATGTAGACGATGACGTCGATCTCCCGCAAACGGTATCATCTCTACATGTCACCTATCAGTTACTTGTACAACGGAGTTTGCTGTGTAATTTATGGTACAAATCTTACCTTCTTCAAAATGTATTTACCCTCATCATGCGCATACGAACGCAGCTTTTTTTTTTGTTGTACAGCAGTATACTACAATCTTTCTGTGTGCGTATTTAATTTTCCTTACTTAATCCATTCTTCTCAATTCGCGCCGTCGACTCCTCGATGCGCGCAGTATACAGAGACACCATCTGCTGCTCTCTGCACGCGAACACACCGTCGTTTTCATGTTGTGCCGCGGCGGCGGTCTCTACTTCCAAGGATGCGTTGATGGATTCAAACTGCTGTGCATCGGCATTCTAACCTGCTTCTGGGGACCATCTCGGCCCCCGAGCCGTGGCGCCGAGCGAGCACCACGCGGAGTCTCGATGCAGTGGCCTGGTTCGAAGGACACCACCAGTGCAAAAGCCCAAGCTTTTTTCCAACCCATTGATTACGTCTTTCGCCAAAGGCTCTCGTTCTGCGCGAAAAGAAGACCGCGGGTTGTATCATGCAGCTCTCGTGCTCTCGTCTCTTCGTCGACCCCCCCTCGGTTTCGAGAAGACAGAAATCTCTCAGTATTCCATCGAAACCTTTGACGAATACTATGCTCCGTATCGAGTATCCATGCACACAGGAGTCGCCACCAGGCCGAGGTGACGACGATCAACCTGAAAGTAACCCTAACCCCTGATACACATTCTGGATAACAGAGAAATGAGCGCCGGGAGCCCCGCGGAATGATGGATAAAACCAAGCTTCCGAATCGAAGAACTACAATGCCTCAATATCTGCTGGAAACCTCACCATTCTCTAGACGCGGAGCCCCTGGCAGGCGTCACATCATTCAATCTGATTCCACGCAGCAGCAGCTACACCACACTGCGCTGATGCGATTACAATGCAAGGTGGACGAAAGCCACCGGGGAAGGGGAGGGAAGGAAAGAGGGTGTTTCGCCTGAAAGCAGCGAGCAAGACACCGTCAGCGCGAACACAAGCAAACGATGCTGCCCAAGAGAGCAGATCGGACGATCCTAGCTGCGCCGTTGGTGGCGGCGGGGCTGGTGGCGCCTCTGCTGTTGATACTCCTGTCAGTCAAGATGTAGGTTACTCTGGGAGTGGGTTGTGGATGAAGTTTGGAGCTGTTTTGGGAGAGTCGGCACCTTTTTACTGTACTAATTGGGACACAGATGGTAGTTGTCGTAAGTGTACTCTTATGCTACATGTACCACGTAGATAGAAATGATATCAATCGCCAGCTGCATCAGCATGTACACAGATGCACAGGACACTGCAATTTCGGTACGACTTCGCCACCGCTGAAGGTAATAGTTTTTTGTGGCAGCGGCTGCATGTACCATGCAATATTCGTGTCTGCCTTTCTTCGCCACCATCCGCTGGGATACCCACTCAACAAAACTCACGGATCCTCTTCAGACTCACGAAGAACGCGATGCTTCTGGGTGGCATATGGCGGAGGACACAGCAATACCTGCAGCAGTGCTACGAAGCCCTCGCCTCCGGCCAGGTGCCGTGCCGAAAAAACGATCGTCCCAACACGGCGACCCTGCGTCCTCCCCCGTGTGCCGCCTCTTTGTGTTGCGTATCATACCCGTGCAGAGCTTACCGAGACCGCCACCGACTGGCCCGTCGCCGAGTGATATCCTTCTCACCATGGAGCAGCAGCTGCGGTCAGGTATCACTCCGACCCTCCCCACCTCTGCTGATGACAGGGCGGGGCTTTTGGCGAGCTCTCTTGTGCCAAACGACAGCAGTGGTAGCAGCAGCAACAGCGCCACACTGACTGCCCATTCCTCCTCCTCCTCCGGCCCGCTCCCTCCAACACCAGCGCCGATAACTTCATTAGACAGTTCGTCGTCGAGCGTTTCCTCCTTTGTCGTTCCGATAACTCCTTCCTTGACGAAGAAGCGCGGGAGAATTTCAGGAAGGGGTATTGTGCTTCCCGGAAGCATCGGCCGGGGCAGGGGAGGGGCGGCGGCCCCCGAGCTATCCTTCGTTGTGGTGAAAGAGTGGGCGTTTTCGGAAAAGAAGAAGAGAGGCGTCGAGGTTGTCGAGAAGCCGCCATTTTTCTCGGAGCTGTGGATGATGATGGCCGCGTTCGGTGAGGAGAGCAGAGAAAGAGGAGGATTCAGCGGGTAGATGAAGAGACAGAGGCAAACAGAATCGTAGTGACTCGCGGCTGACGTTGATGTGTTTCAAACAGGTCCAACAACAGCCTTGTTCCCCGTTCCAGCTCCCTCGCCTTCCGCTCTTGCGTGTTCCCACTTCTGAATTTCCTGCATGTGCAGCATTTTCTACCTCCGTACTCACCCACCATCTTTTTTTCTCCGCATTTTACGCGTCGCACATACACACCCAGGCGACCCCCGGGGCAACGTAACCTGTAAGTGCTCCGGGCACGGGGAGAAGGCGTGTCCTTGTATCGAGGGTGTCGCCGCTATGGAGAAGCTGGTGAAGGCGGTGGGGATCCGGATGGTGCATGTCTGCCGCGAGTGGTCGGCCCCAAGCCGAATTAGGGTCAAGCATATCTGGATGGCCATGCCGGGAGAGGTACAGCGATAGCAACTGTTTGTTGCCGCGTAGTCGCCGTTGTTTTTTGACGCGAGAAAAAAAGTCTAGTATGTGCCGCAAGCGTCGGGATAAACAGCGGCTTTGGTGCCAACGTGCGTAAGCGGAGGTCGCTGCCAAGGGCTCTCCACCCGCCTGGTATCAGCTCTGTGGTTACTCACGAGAGCAGGAGCACAGGGTGATTGAACCTGCCTGCCATGCGATGTCATTCGGGTGTAATCAGTACAGATTCACACCAGCCTCTTTCCGTAGAAGCGGTGTGGTGGCTTGAGGTTGGGGCTTTGTTTGGTACAGAGATCGGTCGATTATTGATTGGCCAACCACATGATGGGGACAGCTTGTTCGAGGCCAGGGTCCTGTGCCTGCCTTTTTTCCGTACAAACTTCTCTGCACGCCTTCCGTTCCGTGCTTCTCTCGATCGCTTCCCTACATGGATGCATACATGCTGGCTCGGTACCCGGCTATTTTTTGGAACAACCGTCACACACCAACGACGGGAAAAGATGCGGGAATACATGGCGTGGAAGGAGGCCCACTCTAAGAGGGGAACAAAAAGCGAGGTGGAGAGGGGGGCGGACCTGCGCCTGAGCGACGTGGATGACGATGACGATGATGATGACGACGACGAAGACGATGATGACGACGATGATGGTGATGTTGCTCACAAAGGTGGCATGAGAGTAGGGGGCAATGGCAACGGCGATGCACCGGCAAGAAACAAGGGGAAGGGCGCGAGTAGTATAGAACCAACCGGAGAAATCGCTAGCGGGGGTGCAGGAGCAGCAGCGATAGCAGCGCCAGTACCCTTGGTAGGAGGGGCGAGTTCAGGAAAGGGCGCTGCTGCGAGTGGGGGCGCCAACGCCGATGCTGACAAGGCGATGGCGGGGGTTACGCACAGTGAGGCCACCCCTTGGCAAAAACAGCAAATCCTGCCAAAGAACAAGCACCGCAAGCAACAGCACGAGGAAGACAAGCGGAGCGATGGTGATGGCGGAGGGGAGGCCAGGGAGTGGGCAGCCGAGGAGGAAGAAGTGGCCAGTCGCATAGAAAATCGCAAGGTATTTAAATCTAAACTAACTTACCTCCCTGCGCTTGTTGCATACACTGTGTAGGGAAGATACATCTGTCTCATTCGATTTTGTTTATCGATTTTTGCACGTCCTGGCTTCACCTACAGCAGAAGCCTATATTTTTGCAAGAAGCCATCATTTTTTTTTTGTAATTCTGGATTCATCACGCCTGGGTTAGGGTTAGCAAACGCGAGATACGCAAATCACCGGTGGCGAGAACCTGTGCACGCTCTCTCGGGTATTCCTCAACCACAAGGCGGGAGAAGATGCGTAAACACTCGTGGGCACCATGCCGCTGTGCGCGCTACATGTAATGGGATATTTAAACGGAATCGACAGCACTTTTTTCTTTCGCTCTTTTTGGATGCCGCTCGCTTACTTAGCACAAAATGAGACCATCACGCCTTCGTAACGTTTTCCCGGTGGGACCCGCACATACCCCCCTCCTTCCCCCGGCCGTGATCCAGAGGTTCGCTGACGAAAGGACGGTTGGCATGGAAGAGGAGGACTACGTCAAGACGTTTTTCGAATTCAGGAAGGCTTTCTTTCTGAAGGGGCGCTGCCGGACCAATCCGCACGGAGACAAGAAGAAGCACCCCCCAGGGTCTCGACCTTTCCTGGTGAGAGCAACGAGTGCGGAGCCAGGCCGGCCGAGTGGCCTTCATTGCGCTGGGAAGAGAGATAACGCATGGTTTGTAGATTGATCGAAAAGCATGGGCTTGGTGGCATCTCGCACACCGAGTCGCTGCCTCCGAGGCGGCCGGCCGAACGCCCGGCTCATATGGCGCACTATATGGTTGCGGTTGTAGGTGTGATCGTAAGGTTGCGTTTCTTTCTGTAGTCAGTATCGACCGCGCTACTGATGAATGAGAAACTGCGCAAAACCGGGAAAACTACTGTATGGGCCTGTGTTGAGATTGGGGTTGGCCACCTCAACAATCCTAGATACCACAATTGGCCGTTGTTCTTGCCCCCAGACTACGGAACCCCTTCGTTTTAATGTTGTTGTCCTTTTTCTTCTCAGAGTTGTATGCCAGAGCCCGGCAAATCCTAATTTATGTTTCCATTCCAAACTTAGGGGACAATTCAATTTTGTTCTGGAATCCGGGTCCCGATTTGACTAGCCTCTCTACTTTTTCATATTTTTCACAATTTTGTTCCGTTGGACTTGCTGGTTTCTCCGGCTACGTTACGTTGTGTTTTCTACCTCTTCGCTATTTCCAGGCGAGCTACCTCGAACTGCAGGATTCACAGGAGGCGAAAGACAAGAAGCTTCTTGAAGCTCTGGCTTTTATGATGTATGACTACGTTGGCAGGGTGATTGAGGGGGCGATACGGAAGAGGACTGGGGGGCGGCTGGTCTGCGATGACTCGGGTGAGAGATTATCGCAACGTATTTCCCGACATCATTGCTGAGTTGATCCATACGGCACTGCTACCTTATATCGCAGATAAGGTCGTTGTGTGCCCATAGAGTTTGCGTTGCTACAGTGACGCTGAGTTCGGAGGGCTTGCAACCATGCTGCATATGCGAGTGTCACCCCGCTGCCTGTGTGCTACCATCACGATCATCGTACCATTAACCACATGACACCTAGAGCCCACTAGGACACCAGAGCCCACTCTGGGGTAAGTCGATGGCATCATGTTCTTCTGACAACGTGCTGTGAGGAAAACTGCAAGTCGTTCGCTATTGACCGGCATGTGTCTCCCCTCGGAAGGCCCCTCTCTTCCCGTTGCATGCTACTTGGTCATCATGATCCGCGTGATGCTGAGTGTCATTCTTCTGTGCCATCATGACGGCGATGAACCCGCGGCCATCATATAATCATCGTTTCCACGCCCCTCCCCGGTTGGGCACCTTTTTTGCGTGCTGGAGAACTACAAGCTCATGTCATGAAGTATGTATCTTGTCTCGTACCCATCCCCCTCCTGCCCCCTTTTCCCGTTAATATTTTTGTTTTGTTTGATTGGTAGACGCGATGCTTTCGGCGGAGGAGATCACTGCAGCAGGCGCCGCCCTTCCACCCCTCTCCGGCCGCGAGCAACGGGAGAACGTGCGCGCTTTCCGAGCCGCCAACCCCGAAGGCATCGCATACAACCGGCCCTTGAGTCGTTTTACCATCGGGCTCGAGCACAGAGGGGATCCGCTGCGCTGGCCGCGCAACACGATAGAGGGGGGCCGCATGCTCGTGGGGGGCGGGGAGGTTGTGGACACGAACGACAAGAGCCTCGCTGAGGAGGCGACGGCGCTCTTTGAGAGCGATTTCGCGGACTTTTGATTGGTGGTGGTTTTCGATTACAGGCGGGCTTTTTCGGCTCTACTTCGGAGTACACTTTTACATTTGCTGCTGCGTTTTGTTCCCCATGTGTCGTCGTGTGGGGTGTTGTGGAAATCCTCCCCCCGCCCTCCCCTGTTTTTTTTTGTTACGAGTGGAGACGAGACAGACACACATGACCAGGTCCCAGGAAAAGGAGGTGATGATGCTCTTGGAGAGCGATTTCGCCCACGGATCGTCGACTGTGCTTCACGAACATAGGGCCGTCTCTAATGGCCTCACTGTCGCCAACAGCGTTCAGACGTAGTGAAACGCGTTGCGAAGAACCAAAGTACCTGTAGCGTTTCATGGCTGTGGGTGCGCACATGTACATATTATACGAGGCATTCTACAACACCTTCACCACCGAACGCCGGTAGCCCACTGCCCCGTCGGCAGCGGGGAAGGAGGTGCTACAAACACCGAACGGCGACAGTTGGGCGTGGAAGACTTCGACTTCGCCCTGTGTGGGTCTTCGGCCCTAGATATCCGTCACCGCCAGGGCACATCACACACCCCTTTCTCTCATTAAGGAGGACACAGCTTTTTATCCGACGACGCCACACGAGACGATGCGTCCTTTGCGTCCGTCTACTGCTGTTCGTTCGCAATCACGATGCGTTGTGAACAGCCTAAAACGAGTAGCTCCACACACATCTCAATGTTCGGTCTTCCCTCCCCAGAGCAATCCCGAAGGTCCCCGTGAAGGGTCGACGAGGTTGGATGGGGGGCAAGCTGGTACGTTTTTCGCGGTAAAAATGAAGGGAAGAGCCGGTACATTTGACCCTGGGCTAGCCGGGGCCCAGCAATGTGTCCCACAAAACTCTCAAGTACGTGTGGGTGCTACAAGATTAAGACCCCAACCGCGCAATAACGCTGGGCAGTGCACTCTCTGTACACGAATCGCACCGTAACAGCGGCGTTGTCGAGCCCACACTTTCACGAACAGACCAAGCGAGCGGCGAACAACGACGGAAGTTGAGTGTTTCACTGCCGGCTGGATCAGTTCGCAAGAGGCAAGAACCATTTGCAGTAAAATTTGACAAGCGATAGAGCCCCAGTCTCTAAAAAATGGGTATGATGTCAGCCGCTGCACTTTCTAGGTCATCCGCTCAACATGCGCGACTCCACGCAGAACGATGACTTTTCCACGTGCTTCGATGTCGGAACCTAGCTAGTCCGTATTCTCCCCCAGCAAGATCTACACGCAGTACAGCCTATGATGCGCCGTTCTTTTAGGCAAGTCTTGACCACCGCGCTCTGCTTCGAGTTGACCGGGGGCGGCAAGCGCTGAAAGAACAAAACAAAATCAGAATACCCAAAAGGGGGAAAAGCCCCCTGGGGGTAGCTAAAGAATACGCGCTGCACAGACCAGAATCTAACCATGTTCGCCCCCCTCGAGCATCTACGAGCAAGCCTAGAAGAGGCAGCTGCATGACACCAGTAGGTGTGGGGAGCTTGCATATCACCAGCCCAGCCCCGAAGGACAAAGCAAGAAAAAAAAAACAAGAGGAATATCCACCGCCTCTTTCAGCTACGATGAATCGCCGGCCCATGTGCTACGCGGCTGTCACGAGCATGGAGGTCATGCAACATTTGCGCACCGTTCCCTGCCGGCTGCGCCACCAACTGAATCAATTTTCAGTAGGCACAATAAAGACGACGGCAACCATGATTCATCACCTAAAAGTTCCACTCCAAACTCGAAACAATCTAGCTTTGTTTGTTTCGACATGGTAGCTTTTCTTCTCGAAAACACGCACTCACACTCGGTGGGCAACTCTGGCAGGGGCGCGGGGGCATTGGAGCCCCCCCCCGCACCGGCCAAATCAAAGTTATGACGATGCTCTCCGCGTTGAACTTGCTGGGGAAGGGCGCAGCTCAATGCAGACCAATGTACACAGCCACTTTCATACGTGGAACTCCACCAGCAAGGAAATCAGCCGGTCTTGTAAGCCACGTTTTGGCGGCTAATCTTCTTGGTCTTGTCGTTGTGCGTGAAGGTATCCGTGGCGTCGAGGAAGCCAGAGGCGGGGCATCTCCAGACAAGGAACACCATGTTGCTTTCTTCTGACACGTCGATCACCGGAGCTGCCAAGTCGCTCTGATCAGACAAAGCTTCGAAGAGCCCTTCAAAGAGCGTACGGGCTCCCTGCATGACAGACAGGTGTTAGTCGATCAGCCACCGCATGAAGAAGGGGAAGGGGTCGGAACTACGACGAACAAGTGAAGAACGTTGTCTAGAGGGTAAGGCTGCACCGGTTCTTGAACCGTCACGTCTATTCGTCCTATGTTGAGGCCCAGAGAACCTCGACGCGCGGTCCTTCCTCACGGCACCATCAAGCAATGAATGGGCGGGCGGTTCCACCATTGCATGCAGCTAAACTAGCTCAAGCACGCGGAGAAATCCAGCCCTGAAAGCGGGAAGCAGAGAAGCGTGTGGGGACTCCGCACCTCGACTCCTTTGAAAACTGATATCCTGTCGGCTGTCTGGTCGTAGGTTGTAACCACGCTGTCCTCATCGTAGTCTAGCAGGATCCTGTCCATCTGTGCGAGAGCGAGCAGAGACAGCGCACAGAGCCGGTACGATCAAGCAATATGAGCCTCGGTGCTTGCGTGTGTGATGGCAGGTGTATATGTGGTTCGCGGTATGGGGATCGAAAAAGCAAGTCCGTCAGCTGTGTGAATGTTTTCTCTACATCATTGTTACCCATTTTGTGCGCGATAGTGGTTGATACTCGATGTAAGCCGTTACGGCATCGATCTGGCGCGCATGTGAGGCCCTTCCCCTTGAACATTTTCACCTCTGGCGCTTCTAGGGTGTGGGCTTGCCGTATCCTCCGTCCAGGGACGAAGCAGAGAAAACCATTGTGCCAGCAGGTTGCTGTCAGAGAGACATCACTGCTCTGCTCTCACCACTGCTGTGCAGCAGTAGTATTACTCTTGTTCGTCACCCTGACAAATACCCGCGTCCCCATCCCAGTGAGCCCTGCACATGGACTGATCCTCATTCATCCTTGCGGCCCCTTGATGCGTGTTACCGCAATTGTGCGCACACATAAAGATACTTCGTGTATTGGAGTATTGGTCTAGTCCACCAAGAGAGCCAGTTTTCGGGGGGCAAGCAAAAAATAAGCCATGTAACAAGGAGTGGGTCGCTCTGCCCCCCCAAAGAGAGAAGCCAGAAACGTACATACAACAATGAGGGTGGTCCTGCACCCAATACGCGAACACCTGTTGCGCGTTGAGTGCGATAGATGGCAAGGAAACATACAACCAAAATGAAAGTTTGTTTTCGAAGACAGAATAAACTGGATTTTATTGTGAACGGAGGAATTCGGAACATCTCCCAGACCTACTTATGTAGTTGGTTCTTGTTGTACCACCCTGGAGGCGTGTTGGCGTGTTGGTTCGGATGTCTCGGTTCGGTTTTCTGGGGTCCCAAAAAGACAAAGATTGTCGTGCAATAAGTCAGCCCCAGTTTTCGTAAGAAAATCCCAGTTTTCGTAAGAAAATTTAAGACTTGAGCCACAGTTTAAATGTATGTTACGGGGTGGTGTGAAGGAATTGACTCGACAGCGTTTGGGTCTGTGAGCAGGGCTACGTGTTACGGGATTTTAGTACAAGGACCTGAACTGCACTTCTAGTCAAGATATTTAAGTTCTGGCGGGAACTGCAACTGCTTAGGATTGTTATCAAAGAGGGGATATTACCATAGCAGCCCCTCCCTGCAAGGAGAGATGCGTTCCCCTCCTCTGTCTAGTTTATTCCGAACGCAAGGCAACATCACTGCTAAGAGAGGAACAAGGAACAATATACAAGTTAGATTTCATGAGGGCCTTCAGGGATTGCTACGCGTGTAAATCTCACAACATAGGCTCAACCCTGGTTAATTTTCAGTCAAGTAAGGGCATGCAGAGTAATGACGTGGACAATAGGAGGATCGAGTACCGTCGGAGGTTGACGTTTATGGTTGAAAGTGGGTTTAACTGGGGAGTTGTTGATTATTTGTGTGAGAGAGCGTCGGGTGACCTGCGCCCTGCTGGTCAGCGTTCTATGTAGGCTAGTGACGTTTGTTGCTGCAGGTCCTCTTGCTGCAATCCACTGCGTATAAATCACTCGTTCATATGTATTCGTGTTGCCCATGGTCTGTGGTACTTGTGTGCGATGCGCAGAAATCAAAGCAAAAGTCTTCCATGTCTTACTATGCAAAGCAGTGTTTTGTGTATTTCTTGCGAAAGCTTTCTTCACACGGAACACATCGCTGGGGTATAGAGCCAGTTTTCTTAACTTTGGGCGTCAAGCACAATCGCCGCGGGTGACTGGTGGTCCTCGGGCGTGCGCGGAAAATGTACCGACGATCCCCCTGCGTGCCCCTGAGAAGGAAGCGTGAGCTTCCGCCAGCGAAAGATATCCCGAGTCACGAAAAACAGGCGAAACGATACATTCATCCATCCCCGGTGAGTCACCTTCCTGCTAATGGGGTTCTGCGCGACCGTATGTTGCGGTGTTGTGCTGGTTTGGAAGAACTACATATGTGTGTTAAAGTGTATTGGTTCAATGTATTACATATCTACTGCTGTCAACCCTATACAATCCAGAGGTATCAACCCACAGTAAGAAGTTTGTATGCAACTACAGCTAGTAAAATCCTACCTATATTTCGTTTTACTGAGGTATATACGACCTAGTATATTTCGTTTTACTGGAGTATAAAAGACCCCCCCCCCCCCTCTCGGCGGGCCCAAAATGAAAAAAGTGAAGTGGGGGTCCCGGGATTTTTTTTTGTGTGCCCGTTAACATGTGCAGGACGCTCGCGGTTCACCAAATAAACGCCCTACAAAGATAGGGTGCTGCTCACTCACATCGTGCGCAGCAAACGCGGCGAAGTGGTTGTCCCACGCGTCCTGTACGGTTGAAGGAGCGTACGCCATGGTGGGAGAGGTAGTCGCGCCTCTGCGAGGAAGCGAACGCGCATGGGGAGCGGACGCAAATGGAGCCTGGGGGGCGAAGAACCCGAGGGTTGGAACCGCCCAGAGGAGCACGGCAGTGGCGGTAGTCGTAGCGATGCGTACGGGAGAAAACATGGTTTCGGGTAAGAGCAAAAGCGGCGCACACGCGTGAGAGGGATGAGGGAAGTCAACAGAGGGACAAATCTGCACTGAATGCTGCAACACATGTGAAGATCAAGGGACGTGCTGGTTCTGGTAGGTTCTTCAGCCGGCGGTGCCCCCCGACGGCCCCGTGGCACGGGGGCCCCGTGCCCCGTGTCCCCGGTGGTAAGTTACGGTTCATCTTGGTTCACCTTGGTTCACCCGCCTGTTCGTCTTCTTGAAGGTTTTACAATTAGCTGATACGCTAATACCTCTATGCTGAGGAGCTAATGTGGCACGAGTACAACATACACCTCATACAAATCAACAATCAATCAACGTTGGTGTGTTTAGTAGATTATACAACAACAGCACTGACACAAAAACATGACATGCGTAACGTCAACGCGGTGTGACTTCTCGGGCTCTGGTTTCGAGCGGTTTCCGGCAGCGGAATAAACCAGGGGGCCAAGCATCTGTCTTGGTTGCGAGTTGCAAACGCTACACCCATAAAGCCTGGGGAACCATGTGCGTCCAGGGCTGTCATACCTTCGTTTGGGGAGGCACAGGTACAACCGTGATGAGCAACGGTGGTACTTCTTGTTCCTGTATCTGCGAAGACGATAGCTGGGCCGACCACAATATCCTGGGGAGCGACTCGTGTGTTCCGATCAAGGCCCATGTGATTTTCGGCTCGGTTGGAATCATCCTCTCCGTGGCGGTCCTATTCCAGGCGCTTTACCAGCTGCATCTCCAGGTCAGTTCCCCCCAACGCCCACCACAGTGCTGCACATGAACTGGAAAGCAGGCAGCAAACGCTTCCCGAGGGCATGCAGCTGGCGTCGAGTTTCAGCAGCCGTAACAGTAGCTGACACGGATTGTTGGGTGTCGACGAAGAATATTGTTACGTATCCTAATCCCTCCAAAGCCATACTGTAGTCTATAGCCCCATCTATACCCGTGGATTGATGAGACTCCAAGATATGAAAAGCACTGAAATCATGTATCGTGACCTACATAACCCGTGTAAAGGTCGATGCCCGATCCCTAAACGTAAAGCGGACGGGAGACGGGGGGTGGGAACAGTTTGGAGGAGGGAATGAGGAAAAGACGACGCTGTATGAAAGTGACAGTAGTCAAGGGGCCGTTGTCACCGGCGGCGTTGCGGTGCGGATGAAATTTGCGACGATGTTGATCCGTCCGTGGGAGTGGCGGTTGCAGGGCCGCCGGCAGCGATGTCGGCAGAACCGACGTCTGTGTGCACCGCAACATAGTATCTTGAATAAAATGTCTTCGATGTAACATGAATACGCGCATTCGCTAGTGCACAGCACGCAGATTCGTCGCAGTGGTCCTACGTGAATGTACAGGAAGTACACACATCTGTGGAAATGTCATGGCAATCGTACTTGCATTGCGTCTAATTGTTGTACAAACAAACGGAAGACCCCCGGAAAAGAACAACGGCAAAAACAGAGAGACGCACCACCCGAACGCACCACCTTCACGAAACGAAAGGAAGTCGAAAAGGAAAGGAGAAGATGAAAGTGTCACGACCGAGTGATCGAAAGCGAAGTCCGAAATGCAAATAATGCAGCAGCCCTTGAAATAATGAAGGAGCTCCCCCGCAAGAAAGCACGAACCCCCAACTTGGGGTGAGGACGGCAACGTAAAGAAGAAAGTCGTATCCCAGACGCAATAAAAAGGAAAGCTGTAGAACACATAAAAACGAAACGAATTGAACACATAAGACAAAGCGTTGAGGCCCCACGTATGGGGAAATGAGTTGATGACCGTGGCTTGGGTGCCCGATACTTGCGGTTCGTGGCGTTCCTGGCGTTCCTGGCGTTCTTTCGTCGCTCGTTGGCGATATCATCCCAAACGCTACCGTTCGGGTCATTCATGGGTAGGAAGAAATGGGCCCGTCATGATCCACAAACGGTGGGAGGATGCGCTCAAGTGCACGAAATGGCACCCCCGAAAGCGTATAGGGTAGCAGTGTCGAGTCCCAGGGACTGGCGACGGTGTGGAATGAGGTTCACTGTGCGACGGGAGAAAATTCTGAACACAGGGTGTTTCTTCAAATTTCGTGGAAGTTACTCTAAGTTTCCGTCGAAGAAAATAACGAAATATTCTAGTGGACATCGAACGTACACGGAGGCAAAGAGCAAATGGACAGCTGGCAGCAGGAGAGTGTTGGCACAACAAAGTTGTTCGTGTATAACGAAGCAGCGAGCACATCCTGTTGGGGAACATCACTGCACGCAACAGCAGCAAAATCCAGCAGTGTTTGAAGTATTTATTGCAGTAGAACACCTTTCTGAAAACCTGTGTGGTAGCTATCGATGTGGGTAGCACCAAGCAGGAGACACACATAACATGTGCGGCGTAGTTCGGCAGCAGCAACGAACGCATGCCAGAGAGGTTGGCGCATGGTCGCGGGTCATTTTTGAGCGCGCGCGTTGCCACTGCAAGCTACAGCAGCAATGTTCAGCACTACCTGGATGATTTAGTCTACAGCGGTTGAACACCTCTTTGTATACCATTGTCGTGAACCGCTCGCTGTGGTGTTTAGTGATTGCTGAGATAGATACAGCGGCAGGCACTTATATTTGTCGCCCTGTTCGTCGGCAGCAGCAACCAATGCGTGCGACAGATGAAGGCGAGGTGGCGTCGCGTTCAAATTCCCTTCGTCCGGCCGCAGGAGGTATCTCATGAGCCGACGCCGCATAGATACGCTAGTTTTACGGTCTCTACGCACGCTAAAAACTTTTTTCGAGCTCACATAGTCTACACTACATACCATCTTTTCCACGCTAACAGTAAGAAATGTGTCACGACACCATCGAAATCCTGTTAGTTTATATCACATGATATATACACGCACAGTCGTGCACAGGTAACAAGACTGGCTACTCCTGGAAGAAACAAAGACCTACTATTATCTTCCCTGCGCACTCCAACCAAGCTCCCACCTCTATAGTTGGGGGATAGCTCTCCACCGGTTACCAATGTTCCAACAAGTGGATCCCGCCTTTCTCTTTCCCATTGTTATGACATTGTGCCTTTGGTTTGCGCAGGCACTCTACAGAATTAACAACCGTTGTAAAGAGGGCCCACAACCAATGATTGCCTATCGAGAAATTCTTCCTTACGCGACCCTCTCCCCTTCCCTCCTTTTCGCTCCTGTCATGCCAAACTGCGGCAAACACGTGTGATACGACAACGGCGACGACAACGACAACGGCGACGGCGATGACGACGCTACCGTCAATGTCCACCAGCTGAAATTTCACGCCCAGCAGTTTTCGGTATCAACCACATCCGCGGAGTGCTGCCGCAAGAGCATGCACGTCACGGCGGTTGCCAACGCCGTCGTCAGCCTCTTCTACTTCTTGCTGGTGCTCCTAGTCAAGGCCCGTTGGCACGAGATTTCCGTCCTGGTTGTGATTCTCAACCAAATAACTGTCAGTGTGTGCGGGTTTTTGACCGTCAGAATGTGGATCTACACCAACGACGCCCGGCTGATGCAGGCTAGCTCCACCATGCTCAGGATCTCTTCGGTGCTGGAAGAGAAAAACGGACAGCGGTTGTCATACCTGGTGCTCTCGACAGGACCGGTCTTCGCGACGGTGCTCGCCTTGCTCGGCCGCACGGAGGTACACGAACAGCGTTGACGTCGGGTGAAGCACCGGCACGTTGGCGGAGTGCGCGATGGTAGTTTCTTCCTACTCTAGAGACACCAACTTGGGCCCTCTGATTATGCCCAAAGTACTGGTGTACGTCTAATTGGCATGGCACCGAAGGGAATCCCTTGTCAACTAGGATGTGCGCACTACTACTGCACCTACGTTGAGTCCGTCATTCGTTTGGCTCCTTTGAGCCTAATCCTTGCCCTCTGTGGTGGCACATTTCTCAGACGCTCGACTCTTCCTGATCGCCACAAACACTTGTAGTAGCCAGCAGCGGCAGCTGCAGCGCATCTTACAAACACCGCGTACGTACGAATTTTGGTGTTGTGTCTCGTCTGCTACCACACTACACACAGGCGGCCGCTAAGCTCGTGGCTGTGACGTTCATCATGCTGATTGTCTTCGCCGACGCAACCTTCTGGATTTTCGGGAGAGCTTTGCTTCGGGCGATCGACGCTTCTCTCCAAAACTCGCGAATGAGGGCGATGGAGTCCGTGTTCGGAGAGGACAGGAGGGAGTCTGTGCTTGCGACCCTGGGTGGTACGGAGGCGGACGAAGAAGGAGGGAGGCGTGGAAGCGGTGAATCAGCAGGGGAAAGAGGGAAAAGAGGGAGATCGTCGAGGAAGTGGTCATCAGGGGGGCTTCGGAGAAGAGGATCGTGGTGGGGTGGTGAGGGAAGGGACGAGTCGGAGTTAGGGGACGGGGAACTCCAGGCGGCCAAGAGAAAGGTTCGGTGGGCCATGGTGTTCTGCGCCCACATGAGCCTTCAGGGGTACGCCATCCTCCTGTTCAGCATATTTAGCAAGTACGGCACATCCGTGCCGTTGATTCTGTTTGGTGTGCAGATGGCTATTGTACCGCTGGTCTGGCACGCCTTCAACATACAGCTGCACGCGGGGCGGAGCCGGGGGTCGGCGATCAGAAGGCGGTCGTCGGGGGTAGACCGGGGAGGGAGGCGTTACGTTGTACCAGCCGTCGGAACCGGTATTGGTAATAACGTGGGGCAGGTGAACACCACCTCGCAGCAGGGGCAGCGGCAGCAGCAACAGAAACACCAAAAGTGTATTGGAGGAGTCGGCACTAAGTGGAGAAAGTACGGGCCAGTGCTCGGCAGGTGGGCCGTGGCCCCGACTGAGACAGATTTTGCGGCAGCAGCCATGGACGCGGTCACCGGCGAGACGAACACGAATGCGCGTACGGGAACAACTCACCCTGCTGACGGATCCATGAGTGAATCAGTGTCAGCTCCGCCTTGTCGAGGCGTTTAGCTTCAGTCACCGATGGACCGAGGTTTGGTACGTCAACCGATAAAAATCATAGATGAGCGCGCTAATTCTCTACTTTCCCACCGTCCGGGGGACGAAGAACCCGAGAATCCTCGCCGTTGAA